AACTTTATTTTTAATTGCTTTCTCCATAGCATCCTACAATGTGTCAGATTGATGTGTAACATAAACCATTACTATTCCACAATAGAGTAACTCACTGTCCCTTAAATGAGACATTCCTCACTTGACATATTTCAAGTTGCTAAATGTTAATTCTTCAACAAACTTTATAGTTGCAAGCTACTCTTACACAACAACCTAGCATAATCCCAACTCTGTAGGGTCAAGGTAGTGAAACAGACAAATTGACTCCTAGAGTCGTGCAAATTCCAAAAGATTGTTAAAAAGAATAACAATTTCAGCAAGATCATGGCAGACATGGTTCAGTATCATTGAATGAGTAGGATCAGTCCAGTTCAAGCAATGTCAAAGATATAAAGAGTCCAATTCTTACCACTTCGAACGCACAAATTTCATGAGTAACATGTCGTCTACAGTCTACTACTTGCACTACATCCTGAAAAATCATACACCTGTCTATGCCTAAAAACCTCCAAAAATACTCCCTAGTTCTCTTCCTTAACCGCCTCTAGGGCGTTGACAATGTGAAAAAAATGATCTAGATTGTCTCTGATTCTTTACTCAATAAATTCAGATGCAATTATATCTTTTTCTCTCCAATTATTCTTCTATTTATTCAGGTTCTCCCATTCTTCTCAATATTCCAGACTTCCACCTGACTTGCGATCAATGATTGATGTATCAACAAAAGATGTGTGGGTGTCTGTGTGTATTTAAGTATATAAATACATATGTAGAGGTGAGGAAAGAAGAGAAGTAAACAAGAGAAGTTTTGACAGCACACAATAATTGTAGAGGTGAGGAAACAAGAGAAGTAAACAATTAACATTGCAATTAAACTGTTAATTACAAAAAAACAACCTTCAAAATGCATGCAGTGTTGGATTCACAGAATCTCAAGACAAACCACCTTAAGAGTATGTCAAGAACTTCAATTATTTCCTTTCTTGAAGATGGCAGCGCCTGAAAGTTTTGGAAAAAACAATTAAATAAAACTACCCATTTCTCCCAAGAATGAATAGCTGCAACGCAAAGCACCTTTTGTAACATTTCAATCCCATCAACTTGCTTCTTGAAGTCGGAGCTTAAAGGCCTCCTGTGGAAATCTTCTCTGAAGAACTTCATCAAATCACTCTGTAAAAAAATGTACTCTTTCAAATACAAAACAGAGATATCAATGATGCAAAAGTAATCCAGTAAACTTTAAAGACCTCAAGATCTTGAATCTGTTCAAGACGTGGCTCCTCAAACTTAAATTTGCGAATTACAGTTCTCTCTCTCTCATCCTGTAATTATAACAAGATAGCCAATCCTGAGTCATTCATAGATTACAGATATCCTGAATTCAATTACAGAAAATACACCTTGTTAGAGTCCTTAATATTTATCAAAGCTTGTGACTGTAAACCGATCCCATGGGAAGACATGAGGGACTCCTGCCTCGAACTCCTCACACGAAAAACTTTCTGAATAACAGCAAATTGTTAAGCATCTGTGTCTGTAAATCGACAAACACAAGTAAAAATACAAGCACCAACATGTACTGAACAACCCACTCTGTTTTCAAAGTGAGGCGCAGGGGCATTGGATTTTCCCAACATTGGGTTGTTTTTGGTCGAGAGCACAGTTGTTATTGTTTTGCCTGATTCAAACCTGAATAGAGACAATCAATTCTAATGTCAACAAAAAGAAATGTGGACCCCACAGCCCACGCACACACACATAAAGATAGAGAGAAAGAGAGAGACCTTGTAAGCCCCCATCCGGTCTTAGCCGTTCAATGAGGACGGCTAAAGAATTTCCCTGAATATGTCTCTAGTGCTTGGTAACCTACAAAAGTAGAAGAAAATTTCATAATCAACACACACACACACACAATAATACACATATACACAGCTGCTTTATATATATACACACACACACACACACACACATATATATATATAGACACACACACACACACATATACATACAGGAGTAAAATAAATTTTGCAACAAATATACCATCTCTTGTTCGCAAATTCTCAGAATTTCACCAAATAAAAAATTGGCTGCTTTCCGAACATCAGCTGATTTATCCTATTATAAAAAAATTACATAACATTTTAAAGCTTTAAAACATTGAGTAAAAGCTAAATGAATGCAAAAAATAGTACAGAAGTAAAATATATGCAGGGAAACTAGGAAAGTAAAGGATACCGTCATAACAGAAGCAGCAAGTTTTAGAAAAAAATGTGCCTCAGGAAATTCTTTCATTGCTTTAAGCTGTTTGGATGACCAATCAAAAATATCTTTACGCCCGTCCGCACAAATTTTAGCATCCGTCAACGAAGCCGTAATATATGGTACCTAGAAAAAACACCATTAGTCAAATTGGTGAAAAATTAATATCACAATAAAAGTATAGGAAATATTGGGAATAGTGCAATAACCATTTTATCTAGATGAACAGCAGCTACCCAAGCATCAAGTGTGTTCAAAGCACACTCTCTCATGTGCTTCTTATTGTCACCAAGACATTTTAATATATCTGAGAGAATGCCCTGAAAAAATAAAGAGATACGAATCAATATGTACTATATAGTATATACAAATATACAAAGAAATGCAAGCGAAGCATCAACCTTGCATGATTTCTCAACTGCTGGCCCCATAGAAGATGCAACCGCACCAACTGTAGATAGAACCTTCCAATCTGAGCTTTCTAAACAAAGAACAAACTTAGCCTAAACTCATGCAAATTAAAGGTAAAGGAAACATGATCAGCGCTCCTTTGAAATGAAAAATGCAGTGGAGGCATAAAACTACACATCCAAACATGCATTTTGATATATGATTAATTAATTTTAAAATTAAAATTCCAAAACTTGACAGTAAAACAGGTAGTAGGAGCCGTGAGCTTCCTGAAAAATGGGTTCTTAGTCCCCTAGCAAGATTCCCAATTGCTTGTATGGCTTCAACAGCTACAGCAATGTTCACATCAGTGATGGCCTACAATGTAATGAATCAGCAACAATGCACCGAATAGAAACAAAAATGTAAATTATACAAGTAAAATAAGCACGGTGTTGCGCCAAAAACACTTCAAACGCTTATCATAAACTATAATCATCAGAATTTTAAAAAGTATATGCCATTTGGAATCGTTCAGATGAGAAATGAACAATCAATTAACATGCCTTCTTCAATGTGCGGCAAATTTCAGAAAAATCTCCAGGTGCTATTCTCTTTGT